CAGCCCGTTTGCTGCTGTGCACGTTGCAGTGCTCGTCTGTTCTTGTGCATATATACTACGTACATACATTTTATGCTAGACCTATACTGTATATACACGTATATATTACATCTTATATATTAAGATATTTGATACATAAAATAAATAACCCGTATGTGTAATAAATATACATTACATACGGGATATATAATATATATAGCGTATATTTATAAGCGTTTGCTCCCCTTATATATGTAAATATATATATATATATATATATATATATATATATATATATATATATATATATATATCAAACATATTGTATATATAGATGTATATATTATATACTCTATGCACTATATGTAATGCATATTTCCTCCATATGGAGCCTCTCGTTGCTTTCTTCTGACTTCCCTGCTGTTTATTTGGCGGTATGTGCTGCAGTCTGCGTGTTTATCTCTCTTTGTTTCTCTTTGTCACATTTTGTCTTTCTCTTTGTCTGTCCTTGTTTCTTTGTCTTAGTTTCTCTCTCTGTGTCTATTTGTGTCTCTTCTTCTTGCTTTTCTCTCGTTGTATCTCCTTGTTGTATGTCCTTGTTTGTTCTCGTCTCTCTTTGTGTCTGCGACACAGATATACCTCATTTGTGCAGACACCGTAGTCCTTCCTGCTGTTTGTTGTTTGCATACACACCCTAGTCTTTGTTTTGGTTCTTATGTTGCGTGTACAGTCCAATATACACAATATATGTATGCGGTGGGGTCTGCGTCCCCTCCAATATTCCCCCTCCACATTTTACTTTTGCAGATTCCACCTATTCCCTCAATTTATTCTGCTGAACTAAGACGCATCATCAACGGCATGCTGAACAGATGCCCCAAACAAAGGGCCACGGCTGCTGAAATCCTCGAAACTCCACTCATGCAGGTGCCTGTAAACCCTAAACCCTAAACCCTAAACTGTAATTCCCAAACCCTAATCCATACACCGCCAATATTTCTCATGTACTCTACACTGTTCCTCTTGGACGGTCAAGCCATTAGTCACTGCTTTAAACCCACNCAATATTTCTCATTTATTCTACACTGTTCCTCTTGGACGGTCAAGCCATTAGTCACTGCTTTAAACCCACATAAAGGACCGCTATTGAATTGTTTATTGATTTGTGTATCTATTGGTCGTTGAATTGTTCTATTGATTTGTTGATTTGTCGATTTTGAATCGTTTTAGTGATTGAGGTGTTTCCTTGATTCGTTGACTTGTTGGTGCATTTACTTGTTTCACTGACTTATTGAATTGTTGAATTGTCTGGTTGGCTTGTCGAGTTGTTCGTTTGTTGAATCGTTGAAATGTTTCGTTGATTTGTAGACTTATTGAATCATTGAATCGTTGTGTTGATTTGCTGGTTTTTGAGTCATTTCGTCGATTTGTCGGTTTCATCGAGTTGTTGAACTGCTGATTCGTTTTATTGATATATTGAGTTGTTGATTATTGAATCGTTTCATTGATCTGTTGAAGACCAAAATATCTTGTTGGTTTGTTGATGATTGCATTGTTCTATTGTATTGCTCTACTGATTTGTTGATTTGCTAATTACTGAAACGGTTAATTAGCTTGTTCTTTTCACGGAGTTATTTTGCTGTCTCAGGCAGCTATAAGGNTAATTACTGAAACGGTTAATTAGCTTGTTCTTTTCACGGAGTTATTTTGCTGTCTCAGGCAGCTATAAGGGAAATGGTGAAGGATTCAAAGAAAAATTTCAACAGCAGTTAGGCCCAGCGCCCTCTCCTCTCCTTCCTCCCTCGTTTCTCCCTTTCCACCCCCCGTCTCCTGGGTGCTGTTGGGGCCCCCCTAATCGGCCCGCATTGTCTGTCTCCTTTTTCTGTGTTGTGTCTCACCCCTATGTATGGAGTCTATTATCTCTATATTGTGCCTCCTTCCTCGGTGTTCTGCAACGTCCCTCTGCGTTGTGTCTCCTCTGCGTTGTTTCTCCTGCCTTTGTGTTTTTTCGCCTGCTTATTCCTCTGCCTTCTTGCTGCAGTATTTCACTACCAGTTTCCTGTTTGTCTACGTGTCTCTGTCTCCGGTCTATCTTATCTCCTGTGTATCATTTTTTTTTACTACCCTCTTGAGGCTTCTTTGGATTGAAAAGACTTCAGTCTGTCCCTCCTGCTGTCGCGAACTGCGTCAGCTGGCGCTATAAAGAAAAAGTGTTTCTGTATCCAATATCCTTAATGTGTCTCCCTGGTTTAATTCATCAGCAGAGAGAGACATAGATAGAAAAAANAAAAAACAGAAAAACAGCTAATAAAGAGCCACTTATTGAGAACAGCAAACAGAAGACGAACACGCCTGTCAGCTGCTCAACACATAAAGAAAGGAATACGCATTTGACTGTGACAGAAACAAAGACGAGAACGCTGAGGCTAAAGACAAATAGAGAAGACAGCTAAACCGCACGACACTCAGCGCAACAGCAGACAAAACACCTCTTCCTTCCACAGGTCTGTCTGCACCGTCATCATCCTGCATATTCAGGCGTACATCCACCGCAGCAACACACAGAGAGCAGGAGCTTACAGAGTGACTGGTTGCGAGCTGCACAGGTATACATACACCGGAACAAAACACAGCAGCAGCGACACACAGAAGAACCTTTGACTGCTTCACAGCTGTACAAACACCGCAGCCACGAATCGACGGCAGCAGGAGCACACAGCAGACGCCTTTACACGCAAACGAAATGCACCAGGGGCCCTCACCTTGAGTCTGGCGAAGCCACGCTTGTGAACACCAGAGAGGGTTTCTTCCCGGCTGTCTCTGCAGCTCGACACAGACTGCGCAGTGCCCACGAGCTGAGGTGTACGGGCAGCAGTAACGAAGTCGCTAGCAAACCACCTCTCTCCACAAGTGCTGCTGCTGCACTCCACTGCGACTCGAGGCCCCGCAAAGACGGCCGAAACCAACGCCCAAACTGTCCGCCTCGTTCAGCCGCAGAGAACCGCACATTCGGGCTCAGGTGTATGTATACTCCGCGAAACCTGCATGCGCCCACGCACTGCGTTCATGTAGATGCTTCTTGTGCAAGGATGCACGCACACAAAATCGCTGCCGGCATGCATGTATGCATGAAGCGACTGCGGGGTGCGCACATGCCTCGACGTCTTTCTGTTTGCTTCTTAGGCGTATGTGTATGCAGCTGCCTAGATACGAGGTGATGAATTTCAGAACTTGGTTTACTCCGCTGTCAGTGGGAGGAGAAAGAGAGAAGAAAAGCGCACCTGAGAGCAGAAGCCTTCATGGTAGTCAGCTCTTTAAGGACATCCTCGGTGTGGACGCAAGAAACAGCCGAGGAAAGTTTGTTTGCTGCTGTTGCCTTTTCGTTGAGCGTATGCACGGTGTGCGACGACTCGAGCATTACAAGACTTGCAGCTCCTTCTTGCTCTGCTGCAGATAAAACTGTTTGTGTTGTCTGCGTTGTTCCATCGGCTTCGCCTCTACCGTCATTGCTGGAATGCTCAAACGGTAGGGAGGAACAATTGCTGCTGCTGCTGCTGCTGTTGTTGCTGTTGCTGTAACAGCAGCCGATCCCGATCCCCTTGGACGATCCGTTCACGGAGAGCACCGTGGCGCCCGCGCAGTGTCTACGCAGCAGCGGCAGCAGCTGCAGAGTGTGGGTAGAGCATGTTGCAAAAGGAGGAAAAAATAAATGCACCGGCTGAGATAAACCCCAAGCAGAGACCCATGCCACGGGATCCGATCCCAACACGAGCTCGCTCACGTACTCCGCCCCTCCCTGACACAAATCAACGCACCCATCAAATACCTATATCATAAACTCTAAACCCTCACCCCATCTATCACACCCCTGAAATGTAACACCAATGGAATAATTAAGCCCTACATATTAAACCCACTAACCAAATCACTGAAACAAAGCATCGGCCCTAAACCCTAAACGAATCAATCAGATCCTGGAAACAGCAGTCAAATACATAAATCCTAAATCCTAAAGCCTAAGCCGTCAAACATCCACAAAATGCCTAAACCCTAAGCTGTAAACCCACCAATCAAATCCTATAGAAGCATCAATCATGTGCGTGGGAGGAACAACGCATAAACAGATGAACCCACATGCAAACGAATACAAAAACATGTAGAAGCAGTGCAACGATTCTGATATCGCCCCAGTAGAACGACACACAGAAGTCCAGAGGCAGCTCTCATGCAGGAGGCAGACCTGTTTGTACACCGGAAATTCCTTGCTTAAGCCGCTTAACGTGGCAAGAAAGTCAATCAATGCAAAGCAAAAGGCGCGCCTGTCTATGTGCATACACTTTATATGCTGTAGAATTTAGAGCACTACGTAGAAAACAGGGACAGTTTACATACAGGCAAACCTACACTCATGTAAACAGAAACAAAGGACAAGGGCGAAGGGGCCTAGAAGGAGAAAAAGAGCGACAGAGGGATCAAAAAGCGGGAGGAAAACGGCCAGACACGGACAGAGAAGATAATAAGCGCAGGGGGGTAGAGCAAGACAGCGAGAGCCACAGACACACCAAAAGAAACATAAAGAATGAAACAAAAACAATAAGAAACGAACCAGCAGGTTAGCTACAAACTAACTTGTGCAAGTTTTTCCTTTTTAGATTTCAGGGTCTGCACAGAAAGAGTCGNCAGGTTAGCTACAAACTAACTTGTGCAAGTTTTTCCTTTTTAGATTTCAGGGTCTGCACAGAAAGAGTCGCCGGGCTGATTGTCTCCTCCACCAAAGCCACGAAGATGTCTCTATGAGGCAACACAGACTGAGAAGACAGACGGAGCACTGCAGCCTGAGGAGCAGGAAAAGCAAAAAAACAAATCAACAAAAGAAAACCAAAACAACAAACACGTCAACGCAAAAACAGGAGCATAAAACAAAAAACAACAAAGCACATCAACACAAAAACAGAAACGTAAAAAAAAAGAATACAACAAAAAAGCAGATAGACTCAACACAAGCAGCCCAAATACCAGCAGAAGCAGCACCACGAGCGCTACGGCAACAGTAGCAACAGCAGCAGCAACCGCGCCACCAACCATGCAGCAACAGCAGCAAACAGCAGCAGCAGCACCCAACAGCAGCAGGCAGACAAGGGTACCACGAGCAAGTCCATAGACATGGACATCCGCAGCAAACGGCAGCAACAACAAACAACAACAGCAGCAAACAAGGGCAGCCGCAGCAAACAGCAGCANTCCGCAGCAAACGGCAGCAACAACAAACAACAACAGCAGCAAACAAGGGCAGCCGCAGCAAACAGCAGCAGCCAGATAACGGTGACACCAACCGATCCATAGACATCGACTTCAACGCCGGGCAATCCGTCTGCTTCCCCATCTACCGCACGCCAGACATTCGGCAACCCCGTGGTGTTGCTGCTGCTGCTGCTGCTGCTGCTGCAGTTGTTCCTGTTGCTGCTAGCGCTGATACTGTCAGCAGGTAGAGACTGCCGCGCATAACGCAGGCGTCGGCGATGGACTGCAGCACGAAACCGATCGCAAAGAAGTTCGCCGACGGCTTCTTCATTCGGAACGTCGAAGGCGTTGTTACTTCTGCTACTGTTGCTGCTGTTGCTGCTGCTGCAGGTGTTTCTGCTGCTGCAGCTGTTGCTGCTCCTGCGAGTAACCATCCGGACGGCCACTGACGCCTGTCTGCTGAATAGACCCAAGCCAAGGTACGTCCCTAAAGGAGGCACACAGACAGCTGCAATTCTCTGTGCGTCTACACCTCAGGGCCCTCTCCCTCTCCCCGCAACCCGTAGAGGCAGCAGTATCAGCAGTAGCAGCAGCAATACTAGCATGCGTCGTGGAAGCTGCAACAGCAGCAGAAGCAGCATGGTCCGTAGCAGCTAGAAAAGCAGCAGCAGCNCATGCGTCGTGGAAGCTGCAACAGCAGCAGAAGCAGCATGGTCCGTAGCAGCTAGAAAAGCAGCAGCAGCATGTGAGCCGCCAACGACATCAGCAGAAGCATCGTTTCTATTCTGAGTTGCTTCTGCTTGCAGTGTATTTGTAGCTCGGTCTTTGCAAGGTTTTAAGTTCCTCTGTCTCACCATCGCAGTCATAAACCGGCAGCAGTTTTCCCGTTTGCATTTTGTTGAAGTGCTTTATATTTTCTATTTCGAAATCGAAGACCCAAGGATGCCCAGAGCGAACCAAACGCCGCCTCTCAGCACCTCCAGGCGTTGCGTCCGGTGGCTTCAGGATAATGCATGGGTTCCTGCTGCTGCTGCTGCTGCTGTTAGGAGCAGCAGCAGGAGCAGCAAACGAGGCGTCTGCCGCTGTAGCGCTGGATGCTGTGTTTATGGCTGCTGTCTCTGTTGCTTCTGGCGGCTGCTGCTGATGGTCTGGTGATTCCTTCTCCTTTCTCCCTCCGTGTCGGTGCTGGTCGGCCCCAGCAGCAGAAGTAGCAGCAGCAACCCCTGCTGCTGCTGCATGCATGCGCCGCAGCGGCGTATGCAGCGACAAGGTAGAGGCGATGCCGCCTCCAAANCTGCTGCTGCTGCATGCATGCGCCGCAGCGGCGTATGCAGCGACAAGGTAGAGGCGATGCCGCCTCCAAAGGAATCGTGCGAAAGCCAAAATCCTGAACTTCCAGAAACCGTTGGGTGTTTTAAACGAGAGAGACAAACGAAATGAGGAGAAAAACTCTTGTCGATAGAACCCCATACAGCTCGCCGTATGCACAAGGCAGCAGTGCAACAGTGTGGCCTGCTGCGGCTGTCACTGCTCCTACTGCTGCCGCAGCTGTTGTGGCTGCCACTGCCGCCTTTTATGGAAGGACTGCGTCTGCTGTCGCTGCTGCTACTACTACTCCTGCCGCCGAAACAGCAGCTACTGTTGCTGTATCTGTCCCAACTAATACCAACACAAAAGCTCCTACAGATGCATTTCCTGCTGCCGCAGCCGCCGCTGCTGCAGCTGATGCCACTGCTGCTACCCTTTGTGGCTTTATCTACGGTTGCTCTCCCGCAAGCGATGCGACGCCGTGCGGCCCAATGTATTGACTGTGCTGCGCGGAGCGCCTCTGGGAGAACCCGAGCCATCGCTCGTAGTCGGAATGAATTGAACGAATCTGCCTGCTGTAGCACAAGTGTATAGTATTTGTTCTTTTGCCCACACGTTTATATGTTCTGCTTTCGGCTGGGCCAGTTGGTCTGTTTGCTTGGTTTGCCCCAATGAGGAGACTGACTAAGACGGGAGGGGAAAGGAGGCACTGAAGGAGAAAGTCAAAGGCTAGCTGCGCCTTGAAAAGATGAGAAGGAGTCCCATAGCCGATTAGAAGGCAGCANCAACTCCCTTCAACACCTTAAAACAAACGAAGAACCACAGCTAACGCGGCCTGGGTTTACCGCGACGAAACTCAGGCTTAATGCAAACTACTAGAGGCAAAAATCGCCTCTGTTTACTCGTTCGGCTCATTTGGTATTATTTTTGCTAATTTGCATCAACGGCCCCCAGCCACAGTTCGCTGCTGCAGCAGATTGCATGCAGTCGGCGGATGTTCTCGCAGCGCTCGTTGACTATCCGTCGATCATCTGTACAACATTATGAAAGTGAGTTGGGGGGGTTAATATTTCTTCTTATTCTTGTTATCAGCTGCTTAGATGCAAGTCTTGGTCAGTGGCTGCTGCTCTTGGGCAGCCCTTGTCTGAGGCGCTGCCTGGAGAAAGCGAGCCCATGGTCATTTGTGTTTGATCCTTATTGATATTAATAGCTAAATTTAACTCAAAACTGCCAAATTGAGCGCAGCAGGTGGGAAGGCTCTCTCGTTGGAGCCTGCGGCCGACCAGCCGGTGTACGCACTTCAAGNTTGAGCGCAGCAGGTGGGAAGGCTCTCTCGTTGGAGCCTGCGGCCGACCAGCCGGTGTACGCACTTCAAGCCTGCGATCGTCAAGGTTCTGTTCGAGTTTTCCAATCATTTTCCTCTTCTCACATTGATTTCACGGATCTAATTTGGCCAATATTCCATTAAGGAGACATTCAGCCTCCTGGAAATCCGAGGTTTCCCGCCGTTCCGCCGGCATTTCGGCTGCACGTAAACCATAATGTCCGACACGAGCGATGATGACGTTCCTTTGAAGCAAAGAGTGGCAAAGAAGAAGGCGTCACCGAAGAAGAAGCCTGCAGTGGTGAGAATTAGTATGTGGCTTGTCTTCATCTCTTTAAATGGGTTCAAACGCAACTTGAATGCAGTTAAGTGTCTCTGTACCACCTGGTGTTGTCCAGGAACTCTCTTCTACTACAATCCCACAGTTCATTTTTTTTTGTTTTCGCTGCATGATGCCAACGAATCAGCAGTATTTATGCTGTAATTTGTTAGTCGAGTCCCTTTCTGCATACGTGGGCGGACGCATCTCAATTGTAAGGGGCAATTGTTTATGATTGCATTTGTTGCATATCGTCTTCTGTTCCGTCTGGATGGGATGGCATGCAGAAGGAGAAAGCGCCGAAGGCTCCGAAGAAAAAGGAGCCAACAAAACCCAAGGCGTCACCGAAGGCAAAGGCAGCTCCTCGGGCGCCTCGCAAGAAAGCGCAGGCCGACGGAAATGCGGAAGAGGAGGAGAATCTGCTGCCTAACGACGCGCGGAAGTATTTCAAACAGGGACAGAAATTCATCACCCCCCCAAATGTGAGGCAGAACAATTTCTAACAGCTCGGAGACGGTATTAGCACCAGTATGTGCAAATACAAACAGAGGCAGCTCACACGCCTTGTCAAAACAATACACCGGCGTCAAACCAATACACCGGCAATCTGCACTCATCATCATATTGTTCCCATGTCATCCTCATGTACACCTCTTTCCTCTCCCTGAACTGCTGTTGGCTTCCTTGCGCATGCTCTGCCCAGCTTGGCATGCGGAAGTTCATTAGAGCATTCCGTTGAACCGATGCCTTCAGCGAGAAAATCAGTTGTATATTTGTCGGCCTNGGAAGTTCATTAGAGCATTCCGTTGAACCGATGCCTTCAGCGAGAAAATCAGTTGTATATTTGTCGGCCTTGCTGTATTCCCTGTCAGGGAGATGGGACACGGGGTTTTTACGAAAGTCTGTATGAAGAAAACAGGAACAGCCTCGTAGCTTTGCGGTGAGTTTTGTATTATTTAACCATACTTCGAGGGCTTTCCGTTGTTTTCAGGTTTCTCTTTGCAAGCAGGATAAGTAGGCTGAAACCACTTGCGCAACTCTATTTGGGTGTTTATAATATTTGTGATTCTGAACTGCATGCATGCGTGCTTGTAGGTACGTGGTCGAATGGGGTGTATTGACAGGGACGCTTTTACACGAGTCGTTGCCCCGGTATTTCGCACTGAAAGAAAAGGGGGCATTTAAAGGCGCAGGCGGAGGACTGCAGAAAGCATTCATGAACGGCCTCGACCAGGCAGACATCGACGCTGCCGCAAAGATGTTAAATGTGAGTGAGGCTACCGTAACCACCTGCTTTATGTACGCATGCTAGGCTAGAAANCCGCAAAGATGTTAAATGTGAGTGAGGCTACCGTAACCACCTGCTTTATGTACGCATGCTAGGCTAGAAAGAATCCCCCAAGCCCGAAGGCGTGCAGCAAATGAGGGTTTAGCAGACAACCTGCGAGAGCAGACGGAGAACGCTCGTAAAAAGGCGAGAAGCTGCGCTACGCCGATATCCACTTTCACTTCCCGTTATATATAGTCAGACTGCCCGATGAAGGAGCATATCTGTCTGCGTTGCGGTGTACATGCAGGCTAGCAGTGGGAATTTGCAGTAGTGGGCCTGCTGCTACAACGCAGGCGAATGCGTGAGCACGCTTAGGCGGCTGATGAGAGTTGCATTTGTATCGTGTACCTGAATGCACAAAGCAAATGTCTTCATAGTCGTCAGTGAAGACGCCGTAGGAGATGTTTGCACTGCTAGGTTATAGCCAGACGTTCGTCTCTATCAGGGCGCGCAATGGCAGCGGCCTCCAATCGTTGAGGACATGGTCCCTTTGATATATCTCTGGCATTCTGCTTGCGCTTTGTTCAGCACAAAAGTTGGCGGCGCGCATGCAACCGTCGTTCCTTTTCAATTCTGCATATTTTGAAACTCATGGCTAGCCATATGGGCTGCTCTTGGGCGATACGTGGGTGGGGTTGCTGTTGTGACTGTTGCGAGTTCTAATAATTAAAACTCGCGACACTGCGAGTTTTAATGATTAGAAGTGTAAGGAGACGGCGAGGGCATTTGTTGTAAATAGTCTTCAGAAGTTCGTTCTGCCCCTAACGCCTCACTGACTGANGAGACGGCGAGGGCATTTGTTGTAAATAGTCTTCAGAAGTTCGTTCTGCCCCTAACGCCTCACTGACTGACCAGCAGCTGCGGGGCTCGACAAAACAAAACACCGCACAACACTACCAACATACTGACTGCCGTTTCGCGCGAAAGAAAAAAGAAGACACGACGCTGCATGCGGGCTGTCTGTACACCCGACCCTCCGCTCAGAAGCAGGACGCACAGAGGGGCCTCCCTTCACCTCAGATAAAATAAATTGGGCAGTAAGGTCGGAAGCGTTCGTTGGCCGCTGCCCCGGCCCAAAGGATCCGTCTAAACAAAAAAGACGAAATTAAATTACTGCTTTCCCTTCCCCGTGGACCCCCCATCCCACCCCAAGCAACACACGCCGACGAAGCCTTCGGGTGCGCTGGAAAGGCCGCTGGAGAAATTTCGTTTTGTTGGGCGTAGAGCTTCATGATCTGTTCAACTCTGTCCAAATACAAAAATCAGTATACCGGAGGCAGGCCTGTGCAGGGAAAGAGCCCCAGGGGGGCCGCCTTCGTCAGTGTTGAGGAATCTCAGCGAAGGGAAGCTGGCGTTCTGTTCCTGCATGGTCGAGATACATCCCAACGCCAACGAGATGATGCATGTTGTCGCCTCCGTCATCATTATTTGAAGCTCCTTTTCAACCCCAAGCAATAAATTTATAAAACAACAGCTTCCCTGCGATGTCCCGGCGCTGTGCAACGCCAAAAACCCCACCCTGCCCATCCGTCTCACGAAGCAGAAGCCAAGTCTATTAATCACACAAGTTTGCGGTGTATGTACACCTCAAACCTGCCGGTGCTACACTCTACCACGCCCAACCCGACTGCGTATCACGCAGCTGACAGAGGAGAGCTCAAAGCATCTGCTCCCGGAGGGACAAACAACGCACTAAATCGTAAATTAATCATTTTTGCACGTAAGTATATACTTGCGCGTTAAAATATACGTAAATAACTTCATATAGAAGAGGCCTGCAGCAGCAGCAACTGCAGCAGCAGCAGCTGCAACTAAAGCCTTCACTCCGCCTTTGCGTGGATACGTTGCGTCTTCTTGCTGTGTTGATCATCGGGGAGCATCTCGACGGTGGTTTGAACGAGTGCCCTGACGAATGCATGCATCAGTTCTTTGGTGTATGCCGCAGTCGCAGTGATGCGGATTCTGGGGCGCATGAGGGGGCATGCAGGGAAGGCAGCGGCGGCGCAGTAGAACCCCTTGTCTAGCAGACAGGTGGTGATGCGGAACATGCGTTGGGGGCTGTTCGGAAATACAACAGGAATGACAGTCGTGCATGCCATGCCTTCTACTTCGTACTTGAGCTCCTCGGGGTAGTCTTCAGGCCAATGACCGTCTCCAGTCTCAATCAATCGCCGCAAATACCGCGCGTTCTCCTGCGCCTTTTGTATGCGCCACTGCTGTGAGCCCGTCATCAGTTCAAATGCCTTAAGAGCACCCCCTGCCGAGTATGCCGTCAGAGAAGCGGAGAAGACCGAGCCAGGCGCGTGGAAATCCATGAAGTCAACGAGGGGTTTCTTGCAGGTGATGAAACCGCCTACCCCTCCAATAGATTTTGAAAAAGTGCCACACAACACCTCGCAAGACCCCGGCATGTTAAAATACTCCTCGAGGCCTCTCCCTGTCGCCCCCAGGATTCCCAAGCCGTGCGCCTCATCGCAGATAATTTTTGCATTGAATGCATCGGCGAGAGAGCGTACAACAGGCAGATCTGCTATGTCGCCTTCCATAGAATACACGCTCTCAATGACGATCCAGCAGTTCCTGGCCTTGCTTCTTTCCTTCTGCAGCAGCCGCTTGAGGTGGGCGTAGTTGTTGTGCTTAAAGAAGAGATACCGCGCACCGCTGATGCACATACCCGTGCGTAGCGATGCATGCGACCTGCTATCTGCTACAATTAAATCGCCTTTCTTGGATACCGCCGCCACGGCACTCATCGTTGCTAAGAAACCTGTTGCACACAACAACGCGTCGTCTCGCCCGTAGTAACGCGCAACTGCTCGCTCTAAGTCCCTTAGAATCGTTGAATTGCCTCCCAGCATCCGTGCACCGTGAGACCCCGTCGACCACTGACGAGCTGCAGCTATTGCAGCCTCCTGCACCTGCATAGAAGAGAAAGCAGAGAGGCAAAAACAGCACAAGTGTAACAACACACATAGGCAGGTAGAGGCAAATCAGGCAAAGAATGGGTGGCCGACGATAGCATATCAAAGCAACAGATACGAATGAGCCATTCTCTTTCGAACCCAAGGTTCTTCAGCAACAAAATATGTCGTGCAGGAGAAAAATAGTGCAGTGTTTTATTGAACTCCGTAGAGAACGCTGAGGTGTAAGGAGAGTTCTGCTGAGAACAACGCACTTCAGGCTCTCTGATGAAGTCGAGGTAGCTATAGGAGCTCATGGGATACGCCTTTTTGTTTCCTGCACAGGTTACTTGGTCGCTTTTGACGTCCGATATTTCCACCATGAAGGGCCATCTATTGTCTTCTTGCAGCGCTTGTTTTGCCTCTACGTACGTCGATACCTCGGATTCCCCCGGTCGCACTTCGATGCCAAGTTTAATCTTCTGAGCCATATAAAAGAGGTGGCGCGTGCCTTCGGCGAAGCGGCGTACGTACAGCACGCGTGCGTAGAAGGCGACGTTGTCACGAAACCTGCGTACGGAGTCCGACACCAATTCAAACAGCCGCCCCTCTTCTACCGCCTCCATCAGCGGCTGTGCGATCGTCTTGAGCCGCTGCGCCGCCTTCTGCTCCGCCAGTTTGTTCAACATCTGCTGCACGTCGGTGAGGCCCACTTCGCCCAAGTCCGGTCGGGAGCGCGGGCGCGGCAGCAGCTGTGTGGCGATCCACGAAACGCGCAGAGAGTCGCTGGAGGCATCTTCCGTGAAGGAAGCGAGGAGAAACCCGACAAGCAAAATTAGCAGCAACGCACAATGCAGAATATCCACAGACGCAAACAGCGACTCATACCCTAGCCACTGCTCCGTCCCGACGAATTCNGCCGCAATATAAGGATGTCTGCAGCTGACAGAACGCGTGTGAGGACGAAAGACGGAGAGGAGCCGACCGGGTCAACCGGGCGCGGCCTACGCGGTGTCTGACGGCAGCCGCCTCCTCTTCCTCTCCTGCGAATGAGGTGTGCTTTTCTAAGCAATAAATAAAGAAGAGAAGCTACTGCTGCTGTTGATCGCCGAACCCCCTTAGCAAGTCCCGCCCACCGTCAGCCCGGGGGAGGCTGCTGCGGTGGAGAGGCAGAGGGCAGTGGAGTGTATATCTCACGCTGCCTCGGTCATTGAAACACAAATCGACTCACAGAACTAAAAGAAAAAGTACAAGAGGCACAGGAAAGGCGCAGCTGCTGCGGGACATGCGGCCGTTGTTGCCGTTGCACCCGCAGGCTCCTCTCTCTCAGCATGAGCACGTCTGTGGGCTATTACACCCTTAAACCCGAGAGTGAGAGCACCTCACTCCACTACCGTTCCTAATTCTGTTTCTACTCCATCATCGTTCTTCTCCGCCAGTTGCCGCCTCTACGCAAACTACAGCAAGCTACAGATCGCTACAGGTGCTGTGTACCACCGGCGTACGAGGGCTGCTGGGCGGCTGCGGCGCGATTACAAGGGCTGTGTGGTGGTTGCTCACGACACATGCCAACAACTAACGCATTCTTTAGGGGTAATTCTACAAAATAAAGACAAAAAACTAATCCTCTAAGTTTCAAGACTGCGGGACTATTAAGATGAACCGCCTGCCACCGCTAGCTAAAGTAGCTGCCGTAACATAGTCCTTACAGATAGTGTAGGAACATTCACTTGGCCTTGGTAGGTTGCCTCCAAGTGAATACAAACGCTCCAAACGCGTATACAGAGGTAAACCATGTAGTAAAGGAAGCTTCGTCGAAGTTTCCTTGTGTGCACATGTGAGGTTTGTAGCATGAGTTAGCGCAGTTAGCTCAGGAGGCTTCCGACGGTTTTGGCGTGCTGCGTGTAAGCGCTTGCAAACGTTCTACAAGTTCGTTCGGAGGCAAAGCATGCAGCAAAGGAAGCTTCCCTGAAGCTTCTTTTCGTGCACGCGTGGGGCTGGCTTGCACTGCCAGCCGCAGCGGGGTGCGCTGCAACCCCATTTCTGGCT